ACTCCTGTGCTCAGCAGAACAAAACACTGCCTGGTCCCATGCCTCCTCGAAATCATTGCTGTTTGAGCCCATCGTTGCAGCGACCGGCTGGGTCCATCTATCTCATTGAGGGTCATCCTCTTTTCTGCCATCAAAATCAGGAGGTTATCATGAGTCAGAATCGACTCAAAGGCAACAGATGCTTTGCGATGCTATAGCTTGATCTTAGGGTCAGAGCATTCTCCCTCTTGCAGTAGTATCCCCCCGCCCCTGCTCTTACAAAAGCCCGGTTTCCTACACTTGCAATCATCCTTTTGAATGACGTTTCTCTTTAAAGTCTGCATTTGTTTTGATCTTGGGCACTACCCTAAAAAGGACATAATATGGTTGTACCTGGTTGACAGACTTGGAAGCAAAAAGACAGTAAAGTAACTTGTAGAGGGTGTTAAAGTCTGCAAATGCCAGAGCTGGGACTTGAACCTAGGTCATCAAGAGCTAGAGCAGTGCTTCTCAACCTTCTTAAAGCCACGACCCTTTAATACAGTTCATGTTGTGGTGACCCCCCAACCATAAAATTATTTTCATTGCTACTTCATAAATGTAATTTCGCCACTGTTATGAATCAGGTGACCCTTGTGAAAGGGTCCTTCGATCCCCCAAAGGGTCGCGACCCACAGGTCGAGAACCGCTGATCTAGGCTCTTGCAGGGCAGGCACTACAGTAGATTTGGGAAGTTTTTTGTTTGTATATATGGTTGGCTTGGTTTTTACATTGCATTGTGAACCGGATGAAGGGTTTACAGGAAAGATCTTCAGTTTTACATGCACTACTTCATGCATATTCAATCCCTCACAGTCCCAATCAGCTATCCTACTTCCTCCCAATGTTTACTGCTTCCATTCCTTCTTCCTTCCTAGCCCTTCTGACCTTTGTCCTTGGGTAAGTGCTGTCTCCAATGGCGGATTCGTCTAAGGTGTGCATGCTGCAGTCGGGTTATCCTTCGCCTTATAGACTTATTTATGGTTTGGCTGAAAGCTGAGCCAATGGGGGTGAGTTCCAGACAGGGAGTTGCTAAGGGCCCTCCTGGGGGTTCTGTCAGTAAACCTGGTCGTTTTTATGACTGAGTTTTGTTCCACATTTTTCTCCCATTCCCTGTAGGGCTTCTAACATGATTCCTTTCAGAACAGTTAGTAGTGATAGTCAGGCACCATCTCATTTTTCTGATCTCAGGGTCATGAAGGCTGATGTTATTAGAGGATTCCATTGGTCGATTGAACTCATTGCTCCATGAATCCTCAGTGTTCTTCATTCACTCTTTTTCCCTCCACACTGACCAATCTTGGCATCTGCAATGACCCGAGGGAGTTTTAAGATCCCAGTTGTTGCTCACCACAGTATGATGTAGAACATTGTCTGCACAAACTGTGATATGCCAGTTGACTTTGCAGTCCCCCAAGATCATGGTCCTGAGCCTCAAAGTGTTTGCTTTTATTTAAAAATTATTCATCATAACCTGGTCCCCTTGATGCTCCACCACATTCATGGATAGATTTTTGGCAAAGGTAAATACACATCTAAAATATCCTCTGTCGGCCTATATATACGCGAGTATTCTCCCACTTTTTCTCCCATACCTATTCAACCTGCTTGCCTAGCCTCGCCACTACCTTCTATCACCACGATTGCAGGGATGTGCAAATAGCAATATTTACCTCTAGGGTCTTTAACTCTCTCCGCTTTTCCATGTCTTCTGTTGCTTTCCATTTTGTGCTGACCTCATCCTTATTGTATACTGCCTTCCCTTTTACTCAAGCTAACACATGTCGATCTTCTAGCTGGTAAGTTACCCTCCTGCCCACTCCTCCAGCCCTCCCCCCCCCCATAGCTATCAAAGAACTTTTCTTTTACTGTGTAAACTTTTTCTTGACTTTTGACAGTAGCGGCCTGTGTTAATCTGGGTAGACTAGAGAAACAAATTCATAGACACACATTTGTGTATACAAAAGAGCTGTATACACAAGAGCAATTGAATATTAAGAAAACATCCGAGGCCCATCCAGATCAAGTCCATAAGTCCAATATTAGTCCATATGTCTGATACCAATCTATAAATTCCTCTTCAGATTCACGAAACACATGCAATGATGCCAAATGCAGGAAGATCACAAGCCAATGGGTGAGAAGTCTTGTGGATCTAGTGGCATTAGAAGCATCTCAGCGCTGGCGTGGGTCTCCACATGGCTCCTCCAGTTCCCAGGTCATAGGGGTCTGTCAGCATAGTGCCATGTGTCTTGTCAGTAGAGCATCACTCAGGGAGTTAGCCCAGAGAGAGAGAGTGTCTCCTGCCTCCAAAGAGGAATATCAGAGCTCCCAGAATCCTCAGGAGAAGGCCATGCCAACATAGAGGTCTCATCGGCTATATCCTGATTGACTCCACCTCTACACTCTTACTCCTCAAATTGACACCAGATTATGTAACTACCCCATGTCCTCATATAATGTTTGCCCTTTCGTGATTGACTTACTTCATTCAGTCAATATTCTCCATAATATTCTCCAGGTCTGTCGACCTTATGAGGCATTCACAGATTTATCATTCTTATTTCATGTTGGATAGTATTCCATTGTGTGTAGGTACCATTCTTGTTTATACATTCTTCCCATGGGGGACATTCAGATGGTTTCCATATTTTTGCAGTTGTACGTGTGTATGCATCTATTCTCATTGAGGCTCTCCTTTCTCTAGCCAAACTGTTTTCCACAGTGGTTGTACCACTTCTCACACACACACACACACACACACACACACTCACACACACACACACACACTCACACACACACACGTGTGTTCTCGTCTCTCCACACCCTTACCAGCAATTGCTGTTTTTGTGTTTTGAACTTTTCTGATAGTGCTGGGATGAGATGATGGCTCATGGGCATTTGGGTGTGCATCCCATCCACGGCTAAGGATCACCAACATTTGTTCACGTTTGTTGGCTGCCTGAACGTATTCTTTAGCAAAGTGTCTGTTCCTATCTTCTGCCCCTTTAAAAATTGGATTACTTGGTTTTTTTTTCTTGTGGAGGCGTTGAAATATTTCATAAGTATTAGAGATTACGCCCTTGTTTGATATGCCATTGCCAAATTTTTACCATGGTCTGTGGATTCTCACTTTACTTTTTGGGTGAAATCTTTTGGTGAACATGTGCTTAATTTGTAGTGGGCCCCAGTCATCTAGTTTGTCTTCTGCTATTTGTGTATTTTCAATGATGTTTGCTAGTATTTCCATGCCATGAACTAGGGTCATGAATGAATAAATAAGGACCAACTTACACTCTACTCCCTGCCATGGAGTTGGTGCCGCCTCACAGCGACCCTAGAGGGCGGGTAGAACTGCCCCTCTGGGTTTCTGGTACTGCAGCTCCTCCCTGGAGCAGCAAGCCCCCTCTTTGTCCCTCAGAGCAGCTGGTGGTTGGGAACTGCAGCATGCACCCACGACACCACAGGGCTCCTCTAGAAGAACCTGTCACCCATCCATCTGTCACCATTGACTTCCTACGCTCAGCCACGATGAACAAGGGACCTTGCCTTGCCCCTGTGTAGATCTCCGTTATGACATCGTCCCACTTTACCGTCATGTTATTTACACCTGGAACTCCTGCTCCACGGGGCGAGCTCCTCCGGGGCTGGGAGTCTCATTCCTCTCTGTCTTCCTAGGGCTGAGCCCAGTGACCCAAGCCGATCAGTATAATTTGTTTGAATTAGTGAGAGAAATCATCTAACCTTTGTGGACTGAAGTGTTTTCATCTCTAAATGAAACGGTGTGACAAGAATAGGTTGATCTCCGAGGCGGCTTCCAGTTCTGATACGCTGTGACAGCATGAACCCCAAGGTTCAAAGTACTAAGCAATTACTCACGCTCTAGTTTTTCAGCAGACATCAGCCATTCAGACACCTTCTATTCCAAAAGTCTCTTCAAACGTAAGTGGAAATGAGTCATTGATAAATAGAAAATAAAATTGCATGAAAAAATTACATGGTTACTCCTACCCTACCTCCATGATAGCTAGGATTTAAAAAAATTAAGAGAGACTTTTAAAATGAAATTTTAAACAGATCAAAGCAAAATGATCCTGATGAGGGTGTGCATTTGTGTGAGATAATGGCGTCCAAAGGCTTCATGACCTCGTTTAAGAACAAGGACTTTTTAAGCGTAATTTTCTCCAAATACTTATTTGAAAGATCCGTTTCTGTTGTGCTGGGTAACCAGGAACCAGTGGCCATGTAGTTGGCCCTGGGGCATGGCCACGCCATGTGTATCTGAGCAGAACCGACCCTCAGAGAGCCCCAGGGCTGGGTGTTCAGAAGAAAATCACCAACCCTGTCCTGTGAGATGCTGCTGGGTCGACTCAACCCTTCAACCTTTTAGTTAGCCATTTACACCAAGGAACTTGTCATGCTGGCTCCCCCAATCCCCAAACGCACTGTCATCCGGTCGATTCTGGCTCATAGTAACCCTAAAGGGCAGGGTAGAAATGTGCTGGTGGGTTTCCAAGACTTACATCTTTTATAGGAGCAGAAAGCCTCATCTTTCTCTGAAGGAGGAGCTAGTGGTTTCAAACTGCTGACCTTGGGGTTGGCAGCCCAATGCTTAAACCACAGTGTCACCAGGGCAGACTAGTTCCTGAATATTCTACTTCTCGGCTGAGGATGGTTTCCCTTGTGAAATCTTTCTTCTGTCTTAGGACTTACAAATAGTAACCTATCAAACAATACAATCTAGGAAAACAATAAAATCAAAAGTTATCCCATGTCCACTCATCCCTTCGGAGTCTGAATTCGTGACTCAACAAAGAAATAAAGCAGTGACATCATTCTCAACTTTGGCATCTGCATAAAACAGGGGGTGAGTTTTTAATATAGTGACTTAGTCACAGCAACAATCATGTCTCAGGAGAAACAAGATCAAATGATTTTTCAGTCTCTGTGCCCCAAGCACTTTTATTTACATAGGGCTTTATTTTCATCATTGACACTGATTAGAGAGACAAATACATTGTGTAGAACATAAGAGAGGTCTTCAGCAGGAAATATTGCTCCCAAGAACAAAGCTAAATCACTGAAATTGAAATGCCATTCATTTTAGTTGACCTGCTATATGGCCGTCATGAAAAAATTTCAATAGCGAGCAAAGAACATTCTTATAAGAAATAATCATTTAACCGCCTCCCTCACCACACTGGCATATCTTCCGATCTGGATGCCAGGTGTTGGCTTTGGGTCTTTCTTGCTGATCAAGGGGAGATTTTGAACCCTGTTGCACCTATGTTCTCGTGGATGGTGGACCTCGAATCTTCTAGATTCATAATTTGGGTTTTGTACTTTTGGTGCCAGTCATCCTCAATGTACTGGTGGTAGGGGTCGTTGGAGTGCTCCTGTCTCTTGGATTTCACGGTGCTCACCAGAATGGCTACAATGATGAAGGAGAACATTCCGATCATCACCATGAGGTACAGGATGACGTAGTAGAAGTTCTCAGCGTCAACCTTGGCTTGCAGGGCCTCCTGCTCGGCTGTGGTGTTTCTGCGCCAGTTGTCCATATAAGTAATAAAAATCTTCTTGAAGGCGCCCTCCAGGACCTGTGTCAGGTTGGACAAGGACGGCATGCTTCTCTCCTGCTGCAATTTCAATGATAACACAATGAGTGTGGTTAAGAACACAGCTCCCTTCATGGAGAGGGGTTCAAGGGAGAAAGTATGAACAACTGTGCTGTCTGCTTAATAGAGTTGGTGACTGACTGAATGCCTACTGTGCGAATCTTTAAACTGACCATATGCTCTTTATTCTTTTCATACGCATGTTATATGTGCAAAAAAATGTTTTAAGGGGGAGTGTATCAAAACACCACCAACAAAAACACTGCCACTGAATCAATTCCAACTCATAGAAACCCTGTATACGGTTTCCAAGGCTCTAAATCTCTATAGCAGCAGACAGCCTCAACTTTCTCCCTCAGAGAGACTGGTGGGTTTGAACTGCCGTCCTTTCTGTTAGCAGCTTAATGCTCACTCGCCAGTGTCACCAGAACTCCTTAAAGAGCACATAAGACTATCCATAGCATGATGCCAATTTTGTTATGTATATAAATAGGCCCCTACACATGACAATGTTCCATACAATGACTTAGATCAGAACCACTTTTTAAAAAACTTTCATTATTATTGCCTAGTATTATCCATATCCACTGTCATGGATCTTGACTGAAAGCAGAGAATACAAGACAGATATTCCCTTGTATTTTATTAACTAAAACAGGTATTTGTGTGGATCCTAGCCAATTATAAATAATATTGTGAAGAATGGGAATTTCAGAACACTAACTGTGTTCATGTGGAATCTTTATGTAAACCAAAGTCCCTTGTTTGCCCAGAGCAAGGGGATTCTTTGTGGATGAAATCACAAAAGATGTGTGCCAGAGTTGTATCCTCTCACCATACTAAGCAACTGTAAGCTGGTGTTGGACTCTGTGAGGAAGAACTTGGCATCAAGATTAGAGGAAGACTCATAGACAAGCTTTGGTTGTTGATAATCGTGCTCAATGAGAGTGAAGAAGATGTGAAACATTTGAAGACTGAAGACTAACTACAGCCTTCAGCATGGATTACACCTCAACAAAGAAAACAAAAACTCCCACAACTGGACAACAAACAGAGAAAAGATAGAATTAAAAAAAAATCATTTGATTGGGGGCTCGTACAACTCTTATCACAATCCATACACACATCCATTGTGTCAAGCACATTTGCAAATTTGTTGCCATCATCATTCCCCAAACACTTGCTGTCCACTTGAGCCCTTGATATCAGCTCCTCATTTCCCCCCTCCTTTCCCGCTATCCCCTCCCTCATGAACCCTTGATAATTTATAAATTATTATTATTTTTGTCATATCTTACACTGTCTGACATCTCACTTCACCCACTCTTCTGCTGTCCATCCCCCAGGAAGGACGTTATATGTAGATCCTTGGAATCGGTTCCCCATTTCTACCCCACCTTCCTTCCACCCTCCTGGTATCGCCACTCTCACCACTGGTCCTGAAGGGATGATCTGTGTTTCCAGTTCCTATCTGTACCAGTGTGCATCCTCTGGTCTAGTCAGATTTGTAAGGTAGAATTGGGATTATGATAGTGGCGGGGAGAGGAGGCATTTAAGAACTAGAGGAAGGTTGTATGTTTCCTCATTGCTACTCTGCACCCTGACTGGCTCATCTCCTCCCCACGACCCTTCTGTAAGAGGATGTCCAGTTGCCTACAGAAGGGCTCTGGGTCAAAAGATAGAATTTTTAAAAAATCATTTTATTGAGGGCTCATACAACTCGTAGCACAATCCATCCATTGTGTCAAGAACATTTTTACATATGTTTCCATCATCATTCTCAAAACATTTGCTTTCTACTTGACCCTTTGGTATCAGCTCCTCATTTTTTCCCCTCCCTCCCTGCTCCCGCCTCCCACAAAAGATTGAATTTTTTAAGGATTTCATTTTACTTGGATCCAAACCAATGCTCCCAGAAGCAACAGACAACGAACATTCATTGGGCAATTGCAGAGGCCCCAATGGGATGCATAAAGCCCTGCCTACAGACAGAGTCCATCAGATGTAGTTAAGTTAATTTAACATCTTATCATTTGTTTTCTCCTTTAATCCCTTCTTAATTTGTTCAATTAAAAAAATTTTCTGCTTTCTTCCAGACCGAAAAAAATGTAACCCTTATCACTGAAGAAACTGTATAGAAAAATTTTCATGAAAAACCTAATCTGCTGTGTAAATTTCCACTGAACACACAATAAAATTTCATTTAAGCCAGGATTGGGCAAATCTGCTGGAACAGGCCTCTAAGTGCTATGAAGCACAAATGTCAAGTTGAGCACTAAGGAGTGCCTGACCCAAGCCATGATGTTTTCCACGGCCTCACATGTGTGGGACAGCAGACAATGAGCAGGAAGACCAAGGAAGAAATGGATGCGTTTGGATTATGGTGTGGGTGAAGAATATTGAATATACCAGGAAAGGCAAGAAGAACAAATTTGTCTTGGAAGAAGTATAACCGGAATGCTTCTCTTGAGCAAGGATGGCAAGACTTCTTCTCATGTACTTTGGACACGGGCTAAAACATAAGAACAATTATGAGATGGCGCGTTGTTTTGTGATGCTACACACAGGAGCTCTCTGAGCTAGAACAGACACTATGGCATCTCACAACAGCATCAGTTCGATGAACATGAGGTGATGGGTGACGTGGGCCTGATTCAACAACTGGTGTTCTTATACAAGCTGCGAAAGATGGACAGACCTACAGAGAGAATGCCATGTGATGAAGGAGGCTGATACTGGGGTGAAGTATCTACAAGCCAAGGAGCAGGAGTTCTGGCTACATTCGAAGCTACGAGAAAGGCATGGGACAGATTCTTTCTGAGATCCTTCAGAAAGATCCCGGGCCTGCCAATACCTTTTGTTTCCAGTTTCCAGAACTGCTAGAAGATACATTTCTGTTGTTTTATGACACCCAGTTTGTGGCAATTTGTAAAGGCAGCCCTAGGAAACGAACATAGTCACACTCACCGTCAACATTTTCCTGTGTGGATTTTAAATCAAATTAATGAGTTGACTTCACTACATGTCGAAAATCTAGGTCCGTGCCTGACCCATAGTAAATGTTCAGTGGTTAGTTCCTCTCCTTCCGAGCTCAGAGAGAACAGGGCATGGGAAAGGCACGTATTCATTATTTGGCGAAGCCGTTTGGGGTGGCGGGTTGCCTCTGGGAAAGTCTTCAGACTCTAGAGCTGAAGTGGAAATGGGTCACTTAAATAAGTAGTCCCAAACCAAACCAAACTTACTGCCATCGAGTCGATGCTAACTCATAGCAACGGCGTGGGACAGGCTAGAACTGCTCCTGTGAGTTCCGAGTCTGTAACTGTTAAGGGTAGTAGAAAGCCTCATCTTTCTCCCCAGGAATGGCTGGTGGTTTCGAACTGCTGACCTTGCAGTTAGCATCCCAACTTGTAACCATTAGGCCCCCAGTGCTCCTTAAGTAAACAGTAAGGGGTGGGGATTCAAATCTACTGAGGAAGACATCCAAGTGCTAAATAACAAAGATGTAGCTTTGAAGACTTAGTTACACTTGACCCAAGTCATGGTCTTTTCAGTTGCTTCATATGCATGCAAAAGCTGGGTCATAAAAAAGAAGATTGAAGAATGGATACTTGTACTGTTCCCTTGAGGAAACTAGTCTCAGGAGGCACCAAGGTCTATCGGCATACATAGTTCACAAAGACAGTGCTCTACATCCTGCTTGGGTGAGTAGCAACTGGGATCTTAAAAGCTTGTAAACAACCATGTCAGGTGGCTTTGACCTCTCCCCATCCAGAAGAACGAAGAGTGATGAAAATCAGAAGCTACGAGGAAACAATTAGTCCAACGGACTGATGGACCACACAAACATTAGTCTCCACTACCCGAGACAGAAGAATTAGATGATGCCCAGCTACCACTACCAGTCGCTCTGCAAAGGATCCTATGAGATGGTCCTGAAGACAGTGGGGGTCAAAAATGAAATGGAAATCAAAATCATTGAGAACAAGCTTACAAGTCAGATCGAGACTGGCAGATCCCCCAAGACGATGGCTCTTAGTCATCCTTCAGGTCTGGACTGGAACTCATGCTTATGGTAGAATAATCAACTGTTTAAGATAGAAATGTCAGCATTTACCCCAGGACAGCAGCCTGGGAAAGAAGGAGGAATGGAAATGAGAAAAACTGGGAAGACGCTGGATACGCCATGGCACATGGAGGGCATTGGGGTGAGTGAGTTGAAACAATGCACATGTAATTTGTTGACTGTCAAACAGATAATCGGCTCTGTAAGCCTTCACCTAATGCACAATCCAAAGTTTAAAAATGAATAACTCAAAGGGAAACGATGTCCAGGAGTCCAGGATGAAAAAAAATCCTGTTTGGAAACGAATTGTGGTAGCAAATGTACAATTCTACGAGATGTGATTGAACCATGGAATGGTCTGATAAATGTATTAACTCCCAATTGATAATAAAAAAATTGTAAAGGGTTACAGGAAAAATAATAAGTCAATTGTAGGGCTGGTGAAAAATATCAAATCTACCGAGGACGGCCAGAAGAATGAGAAATCAGTCCTAGAAGGAAGACAACCAGAATGCTCCCCAGGAGCAAGATTGGTGAGACTGGCTCAGCGCTGCGAGTCAGTACTATGGACATGCCGTCCAGAGTAGGATCGTCTCTGAAAGAGGCATCGTGCCTGGTGAGGGAGAGGGTCCGCGAAAACAGGGGATGCCTCCATGATGTGGATTGACACAATGGCCTCCCTGATGAGCTCAAATGTGCCAACTACCGCGAAGCAGGCACAGGACAGGGTGGCACCCACCATGAGGTGTTCGACTACTGGCCAAGTCGGTGGTTCTTACTCACGCATGGGGCAATCTGCTTCCCAAAGGGCCCAGCCTCGAAAACACTATGGAGCACAGTTGGGCAGGGACACACCCGGGCCGGTGATTGAATGCCAACGATAACAACCAGGAGGAGATGGACTTAGAGGAAAAGTGGAAAGGACATCAAGTCCCCTTGATCTTTTCTAAGATCCACCCCCCCCCACACACACACACCCTCATGTTGCTCTGCAGAAGAAGAAAGCCATAATTTCTTCTGGGCCAAGGAGCTGAGGGTTTCCCAACTAGAGGTGGGATTTAAGGTTGTAGAAATATAGGCCCCTTGTCACCTTGACCATAAGCTTTCCCCTGAGCTCCCCAGGACTGAATCAGGGAACTCTTTACTCGGTTCCCTCCGCAAATGACCGTTCCTTTATTTCAATGAACCATTTATAGTGTGTCTATTTGCGAGAGGAGCAGTTCAAAACCACCAGCTGCTCTGCCAGAGAGAGAGGAGGCTTTCTTCTCCCATCCAGATTTCCAGAAGCCCACAGGGACAGTGTTGCTCTGTCCTACAGGATCGTCGTGGATCAGAATGGACTTACTGGCAGTGAGTTGAGTTATTCATTCTCAAAATCACCCTGCAAGTCTGGGATTTGATGGACTGCTCTCTGGAGCCGCTTGTGTTTCGAGCCCGGGCAGTGCAGTGGTTACTTGTTCTACTACAATACGCAAGGTCAGCCATTCGAAACCACCAGCCACTCCACAGGAGAAAGACTGGACTTTCTACTCCTGGGAGAGTTACAGTCTCAGAAACTCATCGGGAGCAGTTCTCCCCCGTTCGCATCCACTCGATGGCCAGGAGTTTTGTTTGGTTCATGTTTAGAGAGTTTCGGTAATTTAAATTATGATTACACGACAGTCTGAGATACAGGAGGAAGGGGAATATTTTATTTGTCTTTGAATTCCCAGAGACCTACACAGCAATTGGTGTAGTGTTCCTCTCCTGTGTATTGCAGGGATCAATTGGGAGCCACTAGAACAATGATTTTAACTTATTTAGGGAGACATTCTTGATACATTACATACAATTATTTTATTTCCCTTTCTCCAGAAAAGTGCAAATATGCATACGCAAAGCTCTTCGCTCCACTTCAGGAAATTGCAGGCCTTCTGAAACTCACCCAAGAATATCTGCTATCTTTGGGATGAAGGTGTCCTTGCCGAATTCCACTGTCCTTGTTTGAGTTTGTTTCAAAAGGTAGGCATGGCAGCAGCCACCAATCGCTAAGTGACCAGTCCTAACAATTATTTGCTCAGCTCATCTAACCTGAACAAAGCCCCGCTGCTAATCAGACAGGAGGTACCTTTTTTTGATAAAATTTAATCATAAAGCTGAAAAACCCTGTGGTGATTAAATATCTAGGGATTGACCCTGACCAGCCTGAAAGCGTTAGATCCAAGGAGAATTGAAAACCCTGATATGTAATGTAAGACATGACTGACCAGGCAGCTTTCTCTCTCATCAAACCCAGAAAAAACCAATTAAACAAATTACAGTGTGGAAGCAATCTCATTGGTGGGCTTTATGCTAAAACATAATCAAAGCCTAAGTAAGTCAATTTCAATTTCGGACTCCCAGAATCATGATTCAACTGATAGACACTGGCCTATGGGTAAACACCCTGATCCCACGTCTCTATAAAAATGCCATAATGGGCGTTTATTGTGCTTTTGCTTCTTGTTGCTAGCTACTCTCAGCTTGTCCCCCACCTCATGGTGACCTCGCGCTCAACAAAAAGCAATGCCGTGCCATCCCCATGATCGGTTGTGGATAGGGCATGTTTTGTTGGGAGCCATAGGAATTCCACTGACTGGTTTTTAGAAGTAAATTCCAGTTCTTTCTAGTCCATCTTAGTTTGGAAACTCCCCTGAAACTTTTTCAGCATCAGAGTGATACATGTGCAGATGAGTCATGGCTATACATGAGCAGATGAGTCATGGTTATACATGACCTGTGCAGACTGGGAATTCATCCCATGTTTCTTACATGGAAATCCAGAATTCTACTATGGAACCACCAGGACCTCCTATAGTTAACACATCAAAAAAGCCATTGCCTTTAAGCTGATCTTAACAATGAGTAGCCCTCTGGGACAGGGTAGAATGGTCCTTCCAAGGCTGTAAATCGTCACAGAAGCAAATTGCCACAGAGTGGCTGCTGGGTTCAAAGTGCCTACCTTCAATGAGCAATTGAGTGCTTAACCAATTGTGCTTTGGCAGCTGTCATTTACATCCTGTTGAACCACATGAAATTGCCACCTGGATGCCTGTGGACTTACTGTTTCACTGTATGATGCTTGCTTAGCCAAACTGCTGGATGGGCCCAGAGAGATGATTTAGGCTGGATGGCTTACTTGGCAGGTGCAGTAAACTCAATCAGGCAGCTTAAATCACCTGTCCAAAGTCGCAAGGCTCACAAGTTGGCCTCAACGTGGGGTCTAGAATCCCCATCAGCCAGTTCAGTGCCCAGCTCTGCCCTGCAGGACATTGTACATTCCTATGAATGCCCTCAGTCACCGCAGCTGGTTTGGTCAGGAGTAAGAGAAACAAGATACAGACTGGTTTGAACATCCATTAGTTGTGCCTTGTCACCAGGATACGAAATGATCCCCTAATTCCCATGGTCCCTGTCATAAATGTGTCTGATTCCTGACAGGCCAATTTGGGCACTACAAAAAGTAACACTCCAAAGTCCGAAATTCTTGTTTCTTCGAAGCTGACCGTTACCATCACCTGAGTCCACAAAGTCTTTGTTTCTTCTTTTTTTAAATCAAGAACAGAAAAAAAGATACGATTACTTACATTTAGCCTGAACATGTCACTAAAAAATTCTTTTTAAAATTTCATTCCTAACTAGTAACTGAAGAAACAAATAAGAAAAACATTACCAACAAAGTAAGGGCAGGGGTTGAGGGAAACTGGGCAATATACCAGGCAAACGATAAAAATCATTCCTTTGATCATTTTCTGGAACATGGAAATAACGTCGTTTTTCAATTTCCTTCCCCCCAAAGGAGAGAATTTGCAATAGAAACTTACCTGGGTGTCAGTAGTCTGAATTCCCTGCTACAAAGCCAAGACGTTCTGAAGGTCCCTAGTTAGTGTCCCTGAGCTTGTCAGATTGTCCACGAATCTCAGCCTGGCCAGCCCTTGCAGTGTGGGGCCAACTGAACCCTGGCTAGCCTCGGTCTGCACCTTTAGGCTTTTATGAAAACAAATGTTTAATCTAATCTTATGTGGAAAGTTAAATACCGACTGGCAGTTGGGAATTAATCTTGATGCTTACTTAGACTCTGGCATTGGGTAGAAGCAACAGGAGTTCCCTTGTTGGGGCCGGCCTGAGACTAGGCTCTCTAGAGGAGCAAACTCAGTGAAATATAGATAATGTATCTATATTTATATAAAATTATATGTACATATACAAGATATAAAGTATATAATACATATAAAACCAAGGAGATGTGCAAATATCTATGTGCTGCATGTAGCTCTTGCTCTGGTCTGTTGTTGTCAGGTGCTGCTAACTTGGCTGTAAGTCAGAGCTACTTTATGGACAACAGAGTGAAACACCGCCCGGCCCCGCACCTTCCTCACAATGGCTCTTAGGTTTGAGCCCCTGGTTGCGTTCATTGTGTCAATCCATCTTATGGAGGGTCTTCCTCTTTTTCGCTGCCCCTCCCTGTTACCAAGCCTCATGTCTTTCTCCAGGGACTGGTCTCCCCTGATGACGTGTCCAAAGTCCGTGAGACAATCTCACTGTCCTTGACTCTAAGGAGCGTTCTGGTTGTCCTTTTTCCAAGACAGATCGGTTTGTTCTGTGGGCAGTCCAGGGTACGTTCAATATTCTTTGCCAACACCATAGTTCAAATGCATCCATTTCTCTTCAGTCTTCCTTATTGAATGTCCAACTTCCTCATGCATGTACGGCCACTGGAAATATCCTGGCTTAGGTCAGGTGCGCCGCCTTAGTCCTCAAAATAACATCCTTGCTTTTCAGCACTTTCAGGAGGTCTTGTGTAGCAGATTTCCCCAGTGCAATGCATCATTTGATCTCTTGACGCTGCTTCCATGAGCATTGGCTGTGAATCCAAGCAAGACAAAATCCTTGCCAACTTCAACCTCTTCTCTCTTTATCATGATATTACCTACTGGTCCAGTTGGGAAGATTTTAGTCTTCTTTACATTGAATTATAATCCACACTGAAGGTTGCCGTCCGTGATCTTCATCAGCAAGTGCTTCGAGTCCTCCTCACTTTCAGCAAGCAAGGTTGTGTCATCTGCATATGACAGACTATTCATAAAACTTCCACCAATCCTGATGCCACATTCTTTTTTTATATAATATAATGTGTCTGGTGATTTGCTCATCATACAAACAATAAGTATAGTGAGAGGATACAACCCGATGCACACCTTTCCTTATTTTAAAACTTGTAGTATTCCCTTATTCTGCTCACACAACTGCTTCTTGATCCATGTATAGGCTCTGTGTTAGACAGGGTTCTCTAGAGAGACAAAAGCAGATTGCTAATAATTATATATATATGCATATACAGATAGATAAATATATAACATAATAAATAGTTAAATTATAAGGCAGTACAAATGGCTCAGTGCAACTCACTCCCATGAGACAGTTGTGAGACACTGGCTGTCCTTCAAGTCTGTTGAGGATTTTGGTCTTCTTTACATTGAATTATAATCCATACTGTAGAGCAATTCAGGCTATCCGGGCACAGGCAGCAAACAGCAAGGCAGGTCACCAACAGTCAGCCAGATGACACAGTCTGACAGTCCCCAGATCAAAAGAGATGTAAATTCCAATTGTATGGTGAAGCAGGTCTTGAAGGAACCTCACATTACAGCAACACAGTCCACAGGTTAGGTGTCCCACAGGTAATGTAGCTTGCAAATTGAGGCACAGAACAAGCAAGGCAGCTGCACACTGGTCTGATGATCAAAGAGCAAGAGACAAGAAAGGCGAGGCTCGCCGAGCCATTTATCTCTCCGCCCTTCAATTAATCCCACATGTGTTTATCAGCCAGGTTGGCACAATAAACTAACTACCTCAGGCTCCAAATAAGCAGTTAAGTGTTCTGGAATTCTCATTCTTTTCAAGGCTATCCCTAGTTTATTGTGATCCACACAATCAAGTGCCTTGGCATCGTCAATGAAATACAAGTCAACATCTGCCTGGTATTCTCTGCTTTTAGTTAAGATCCATCTGACATCAGCAATGATATCTTTTGTTCCACATCCTCTTCTGAATCTGGCCTGAACCTCTGGCAGTTCCTGTCATGTGCTGCTGCACTGTTGTTGAATGATCTTCAGCAAAATTTTACTTGCATGGGATAGCATGATATTGTTCTACAATTGAAGCATTGTGTTGGTCCACTTTTCTTTGGAATGGATACAAATATGGATCTCTTCCAGTCAGTTGGTCAAGTAGTTGTCTTCCAAATTTCCTGGCACAGAGGAGGAAGTACTTCCCAGGCTTCCTCAGCTTGTTGAAGCATTTCAGTTGGTCTCCCATCAATTCCTGGAGCCTTGTCTTTGGCCTATGCTCGCAGTGTTGCTTGGACTTTTTCCTTCAGTACCATTGGCTCTTACTCATATTCTACCTCCTGAAATGGCTGAATGTCCACTAGTTCTCTTCTGTACAGTGACTCTGTGTATTATTTCCATCTTCTTTTGATGTGTCCTGTACCATTCAATATTTTGCCCATAAAATCTTTCAATATTGCAAGTGAGACTTGAATTTTTTTCTTGAGTTCCTTCAGTTTAAAATATACTGAGTGTGTTCTTCCTTTTTGGTTTTCTAAGTCTTTGCAAATTTCATTACAATATTTTACTTTGTCTTCTCTGGCTGCCCGTTGAAATTTCAGGTCAGCTCGTTGACATCTACATGTCTGCCATTTGCTTTAGCTACTCTACAATGAAGAGGCAGTTTCTGAGTGTTTTCTGACATCCACTTGGATTTCCTTTTTCTTTCTTTGCTGTTTTTTTTAATGACCTTTCTTCTTTTATGATGTTCTTGAGGTCATTCCATAGGTCATCAGCTCTTTTGCCGTTAGCTTTTAATGCATGCTATCTCTTCTGGAAATTCAGATGTGCTCTATCCAAACCAGTATTTTGGTTCCCATGCACTTGTATTCATTTTCTTCAACTCCGCCCTGATCTTACATATAAGCATATATACATACATACATATATATATAAACACACATATATAAAACAATTTTAAAATTGAGGGTGAGAATGGTGAACAACCTGAAGAATGTAATTAATATCACTATGCAATGTACATGAAGAAATTATTAAATTGGTACATATTCTACTGTGCATTTTCTCAACAACAACAACAGCAATAAAATAAATTGTGGAAAAAAAACTGGACGGGTGGAGGGAGCCCTAAGGGAGTCCAGCTCTATACTGACAGACATGAGCTCACTGTGAGTTGGAGTTGACTTGGCGGCAACTGGTTTTACTGGTTTAAAGAAACACAAAGGTCTTTATAAATCAGTGCGAGCCCCTTCATACTCTACTTGTCTCACGAACTGACCTCCCTGAACAAAACAAGTCAAACTCAATCAGAAAGGAATCATTTGATAATAGTTGATTGGGCAGTAAGTGCCTCCATCACAAGGGAAGCAAAACACAATCAAACATCTCTCTGGGAAGTTCTGCCAGCGAATTGGCGATCTTACGTGGAATCCATAGGAATTTGATAGTTGGGTCCTAGTTTCCCTCTTTTCCTGCATCCATGTCTTCATGTCCCTTTCTGCCTTATACAAGTTGTGTGAATTGTGTTGTGGGAGCGTGGTAAACTTTCAGTCAAATGATAGATAGGCCTCTGGAGCTCCGATCTTGCTGTCAGGTAAGTGTCGGATGGCTCACAGCTGTATTGTTAGTAGGTACCGGAGCCAATCTTGTTTCTTATCCCTAGTGCAGCCCTGATGTTTAACTCTGAATCTTGAATTCCTCTAGTCTCCAGGAGGGGCGCATCAAATCAGTCTGAGAGTCTATCCTGTGGCAACAATAGCCAGGTAACACAGGGCAGCATGTCAGGGAGGCTAAGAGTCCGGCCTTGTCTGCTGATCACCAGGTTTGCGTTCCTGTTCTGCTGCAAATTGAGTAAAAGCACCTAAAGTAAGTAATGGATGACTAAAAAGGATGCTCATGCCCAAAGTCAGGCTCCATTTTGCCTTCTGGCCTGGATTCTACTTCAAAACTCCAGCCTGCCATCTCTGTACCTTTGTTTCCACTCTGCCATGCTGAAGCCAATGGATAAGTAGCGTTTAGAAAAGAACAAGGGGGTTTTCACTACCCCCAACCAGCAGAAAGATGAGCCAACATGCATTCCTGAGAAATGAACAGTTAGCCTGCAGTGCTCAGTTAGGATGCGTCTGACAACATGTCAATGATGGATTTGGTGAAGATTATCTACATTACCAACCACACTGGTCAGGATGTAAACCAATTGAGAAGAGGATGTGAACAGTGTTTCCGGACCTGGCTCCAATCCTGGGTAGCCCCCAACCCGAGCTGCTGCTGTCTAGTTGATTCAGCCCTGTAGGGCAAGAAGAACCACCCTGCTGAGCCCATACATCCTTGTGCGAGCACACGGCCTTAACTGTCTTCCTCAGAGAAGTTGGTGCCTTGAATGACTGACTTTTGGGTTAGTAGAAGAGTGTTTTAACCCAGGCACCACCAGGGTGTCCCACAGTCGTGAGTCACTGACCAGCTGACTCCAACTCCACTATCAAGAATAACAACCCCCTCTTGGCGTACTCCTCCCTAACCAGAAGGTTGGCATTTCTAAGGCCTTCAAGTTGAGGCTGATCTTACCTACCTGCTACCAATGACCTTCCACCTTTTCTTTGTGTTGAGAGCATCCTCAACTTGGGTTTCTCAAGCCACACACATTTTTATTTTAATTCCTTAACAAAACTCTTTGCAGTGATTTTTTTTTAAAACATCGTATTCTGGTTTGGGTGAAAGCTTACATAGCAAAGCGATTTTCCATTCAATAACTCCTGCATTGTGTGTGAGTGTGTGTGTGTGTGTGTGTGTGTGTGTGACATTGATTAAAGTCCCCACTAAGTAACAACGCTCTTCCTACTTTCTTCTAGTGTCCAGTTTCCATTTTT